AATGATGATGAAATAGATGGGGATATTATTAGTAGAATTCAAATTGGATAGTTGAAGTTGAGGAATGCATCGAGCTTGTTGTGTGATAGAAAAGTCTCCCTCAAACTTAAGGGAAAATTCTATAAGATGGTGATGAGACCTGCAATGCTTTATGGTGCAGAATGTTGGCCATTAAAAGAGAATCATAATAATAAGTTAAGTGTTGCAGAGATGAGGATGCTCAGGTGGATGAGTGATTTTAGTCTTAGAGACATGAGATAAAATGAGCATATACGTCAAATGGTTGGAGTAGCTCCAATGGAAGATAGGATTCGAGAGAGTCACTTTAGATGGTTTGGTCACATAAAATGGTGGCCTTAAAAAGAGAGAGATTCTCCTTCTTCCTCGGAGTACCTCGGTTCTAATGTGGAGACTCTTCTTCGCTAAAGCCTAGACTAGTTGAGCGTATGAGCTCCAAAGGTGAAAGTTCTCATTATTAAGTCGCGGATTTCTTGTTTTATCGTCATAGTTTTACAATTGATCTTTGCATTTTTTTAAATTGTTTGGTTAACCGACTCGCTCTTCTTTGCCTAAGAAAGTTAAAAGCTTGAGAACTCCAAGGATCAATCTTTTGTTATAAGTGATAATTTTATTTTTGGATTATTTTGTTAAAATATGCTCTCTTTAATTTCCTTAAAGTAATTCCTGAACCGGATTGTTTCACATCATATTTGATTTTAGAGAAAGCATATGATAAAGTTTCAAGAGAAGTGCTATGAAGAGTTTCTAGAAAAGAAATGGGTTAATAATGCTTTATATTCAAGTCTTTAAGGATTATATGCAGGTGATGTTACTTGTGTTCAACACAAGGTGGTTTGACCGAGTATTTTCCCTCTCACATGCTAACTTCGTGTGAGAGGGAAATAAAGAGAGTGAGTGCACTAGTAGGTGCAGGCGGGTGTGTGGCGAAGGAGTGCATGGTGGAGAGCGAAGGCATGTGCACGTGTCAGCGAGTTGTATGCAATGGGAGCAGGTAGCTCAACCCCTTGGGGTTAGGGGTGTCAATTTTTTGACACGACCGCGAAACCCGACCCGGAAAAATCTGGGTTCGAGTTGACCTGTTTATGAAACTTGTTCTGGTTTGGGTTCAATAAACTGACCCGTTTCAAAAAACAGGTCGGATTTAGGTTGACCCGACAATCCGAATATGACCCAAAAATCATCTGCCCAGGTCTGTTGCCCCGCCTTGCCCGAAGCATCGAGTGCCGTGCGCCCCTGCCCGAAGCGTCAGGTGTCAAGTCGCGTGAGTCCCGAAGCGTCGCAGTCGAGTCTCGCGCGTACGCGCTGCGCCGTGCGCGTCCTGAACCCGAAGCATCGCGTCAACGCCGTCGAGTCGCTTCACTGGCTGCCCTGGCTCGGCGTTGCGTGCTGCCGTTGCCGATACTGCCGCTCT